AGTGTACTAAAGCAGAAAATGTCTTATACTCACCTCTGTTATACCAGAAACCTCTCCTTTTTCTAATGGTTTGGTGATGGATGGAGTGAACACATTGGCATCTGACACTGGCCGCCCCTTCATAAAATGTTTTCCTGCTTCGTAAATGTCCACTTCTACCATTTTACCCATGAATTCAGGGTCCTTTGGCACGAGAACCTTTAAAAGAAATTGTTCAAATGGTACAGACATATTTCCTATGTTGAGTAGGACTCAAGTCACAACAGATTTCATTCAGAAACCAGAATTCTGGTGAAAGATCAGTGTGAAACCTGAAAAACTCAAATCTTGTTCACCTATATGCCCTACTTCTCCCTAAAATACCTGTTGGATAATATCTCCTATTTGTAACCACAAGAAGCTATTCACCATTAGATCTGCTCTTTTCAGCTCTGCTTAACTGTCTGAGTAATATCTCTGGCAGAAAAAGAGGTGGGTGTGAGCTGCAAAATTTATAACATGAAGCAGATCCAAACACCTCCTCAGGTTACTTGCTCAAGATAACTCTACTAGATGTAATAAAGAGATGAAAACAGAAAGATTTAGAGACACAACCTATTGGTTCTTCGTCTGTAAGATCTTCAGGGTAAAAACAATGTCCATGTGAGAGCTTTGTCCTTGTACTGACTGTGGTCTCTTGGGTTATGTTCAAACTGGGGATGTGAACAAGTAGTCAAGTAGACAATTAACCGGTAAGCCTAGGGAGGTTAATCTTCTTCACTACTAACATTGCCCCCCATCCCCTGATCTCTGTATCAGAGGCAGCAAGGGGGGGAGCAGGAGCTGAGGGGAGCAGCTTAAAAGCTGGTTCCCACCAGCACCAGCTCCATGGTGCCACCTGCCCCCCACCACAGTGCTGCTTCTATCAGAGGCAGCAGTGCAGGGGTAGGGGTCAGGGGTGGCTCCCACAAAGCAGCCTCTGCCTGTGGCAAGCCTGGGTCTGACACAAGCAGAGGCTGCTTTGCAGCAGCAGCCCCTATCCACGGGGGTCCAAACTCCTCGCAGACAGGGGCTGCTGCCAGAGCAGTCTCTGTCTATGGCCAGCCCAGACAGGAATACTTTAATAACAGGGACCTTAGGATTGAGCTAAAGTGTTTCAGGAAGAAGTCAGGAACAAAAATGTATTTACAGATATTTACTTAACTGCTTATTCAAATTGTTAAACATGTAACCCTAATTTCCCAAAGTGCTTTTGACTGAGAGGCCTGACATACTCGTTACACCCAACACACTACTGTTATAATCAGTATCTAAATTATGTTATGTAATGTGTCATTGGAAAACCAATAACTCAATGACCATTAATATTCTTGTGTAAGAAGTTAGGGTCCATCTAGCCCAGTATCCTCTCTTCTAACAGTGGCTATGCCAAATGCTTCAGAAAGTGTGAATAGAACGGGGGAATTTATTGAGTCCCAGCTTTTAAAATGGGGCTATGTGCCTGACCACCTTTGCTAGTCATTACTGATGGATCTATCCTCCAATGAATTTATCTAGTTCCTTAGTGAATCTAATTATAATTTTGGTCTTAATAACATCCTCTGACGAGTCCTGCAGTTTGGCTGTGTGTTGGTAAAGTAGTAGTCCTTCTGTTTGTTTTAATCCTGTTGCCAGTTAATTACATTAGGTGACCCCTGGATCATGTGGTAAATGAAGGGAAAAAATAACACTTCATTATTCACTTTCCTACACCATTCATGATTTTGTAGATCTCTAGCATATCTTCCCTCAGTCATCTCATCTTCAAGATGAAAAGTTCTATTCTTTTAAATCTCTCCTCACATGGAAACTGTTTCCATATCCCCTAATTATTTTTGCTGTCCTTTTTTATACTTTCTCCATCCTAACACAGGAAACCCTCGCCATTTGCGGTAGATGAGTTCCTGGCACTAAGGCAAAGGGCAAAATTTGCAAATACAAGGCTGGTTCCTGTGGATCCTGAACTCACTGCAGGGAACTCACTGCAATTGCTGGGAGCTGTGGGGAACTCTCCATGGGGGCCAGGAGCCACAGTGAATTTCTCATGGCTCTCAGCCCTCACCGCTCCTTCCCCATCCGGAACAGGAGACCCCCCCCCCCCCGGATATGTGAAACCATGAATAGCAATTCCATGAATTGCAAAGGTCTCATGTATATCTTTTTTGTGATAGGGTGACCGCAACTGCTTGTTGTAGTCAAAGTATAGGCATAGTATGAATTTATATAGTGCCATTATGGTATTTTCTGTCTTATCTATCCCTTTCCTAATGGTTCCCATCATTGCTACCTTTTTTGACAGCTGCTGCAGACTGGGGATGTAAAATCCTCGTTAATCAATTAACTGGTTAGGCTGACACAACCTTTAACCGACAAAGTGGGATCCGGGCTGGGGACTGCTCCAGCCGGCTCGAGCAGCCACCAGCCCACAGGTATCCTGCTCCCAGCTTCACATTGGGGCTGGCTGCCAGCTCCCAGCTCTATGCTGGTGCTGCCGTCGGCTTCCCAGCTCCCACCAGAGCAGCCCCTGCCTGCGGGGTTCTTGGGCTCTCTGTGGACAGAGAAAAGGTTGTATTTTACCCCCCTTACGTTAATAAGCTGTTATTTCCGAGGTGTTCAAGGGAGGTGATAATTTTGTGAGATGGACATTGCAGTTCAGAAGGATTATTTTATATGAGAAAGAAGTACATTTGCCAACAAATACTTAAAAACAAATTTGATAAATTTAAGACTGAAGTGCTATGAATCTAAATACGAGAGGCAAAAGCTCCTTCTGAATCAAGTTTTTTTTTGCCTTTTTTAAAATTCTTGTTTTACAAACACTTTGGCAAATTGCGTTGTCGAGAAATGCTATCTGAAAGATTATTGGAAATCATCAGTTTCTTATGTGTATTAATGTATACAAATATCCATTACATATTTTAAAATTCATTTATGGTATTTTGGCAGCTACAGAACATTAGAATCAGAATCTTCTATTAATGAGACTAGTGTACTCTTCTTGGCAGGCAGCATTTTTTCCTTTTGCCTGTAGCACTTTTACTGTTGGCCTGATTTAGGGAGATCACTAGAAAGTAAAGAGAAAATTACTGAGATTTTAATTTAATTTATTTTATAGTACCTGCTCGTAGAATTGATTATGAGCAACATAAAACTGGGAATCAAAAGATTCTTCTGTTACCAGAACACTTTGTCTCTCACCAACCTGAAAAATAGAAAGGTAAAGAAGTGAGTAAAGAATAAAACCCATAAAAGATTCCCCAAAGAGGATATTAAACTAAACTGTCGATAAGATAATATCAACTATTTGATTACATGAAACTAGCATAGTTTGAAATGGCAAGGTATGTTCAAATATGAAACTTCAATGCAAAAAGTCAGTCTGATTTTTTTCATTCATTATGAACACTTTCAGAAATTAAAATATTTGTCCACAACCGTAAAAACCAAACAAAACCCCAACTTTTTTTGTATTTTGCAATAATTTGTTAAAGTAAACTAAATACAGGCTACCACCAAATCCAAATTTGTAGAAATTTCATAATGAAATGAAACACAGTGAAACAGTAATAGCCTTCCGTGAAAACCTCCAGATGGAGCAGGATGAAACAAGACCAGTCACTTTTCACATTTTTTCAGAATTCTTTCTCCATGTTTTCTACATAGGTTAGTATTGTAAACAAAAATGGTTTATTCCTGTATGCCCAGCTTTCTCCTCCTTCTTCGGTGATATCATAATGCTGAACTGTGACATCACATTTGTTCCCATAGCAATATGTCATCCCAGGATTTTCACTGTGGGATTAAGAAACATTCCAGGGAGCATAAACACTGGACAAAATAGTTACTGCATATTTACTATCTCCAAACATGGTCCATTGTAAATATTTTTTAAAAGTAATGAGTCATTTGACATTGCCAAAAGGTTGAGCATGAGGAGCTAAATGTAATTAGAAATTGATGCAACTAGTCAAGCATAGATCAAGACCTAAATTTTCTCAAAGTTCAGAGGTGTTTTAATGAGTGGTTTTGGTTTGATGCATTCTTATACTGTACTACCTTCAGATCTGGACTTTTCCATAGCTCAGGGATATTCATATCCAAGTTTTTAGTTGAAACTGTAGTTCAATGTTTTATCTGAACATTGACTGGATTTTTTCTGACTTGTTTGACAAATCCATTCTTCAAATTACAGCCGCTCAGCAAACTGAATTTCTTTATTGCTTTTATTCTTATCCCCATTTAGGGACTTGTGAACATGTCCTAGCTTTTAAGCATTTAGTATATGTAAACAAAGTTGCATTAAAGACCAACTGTCACTTGAAAAAAGAAAAATCACTTCTAATACATCTGAGACATGGCTGTTACACAAAACACAGAGAGGCCCTTCTATGAAACAATTCCTCTTGGAAAGCTAGAAAGACCCAGATCAGACTGAATGTACACAGTTCAAGTAATAAGCAGTGAAAAAACCCACACTAACCATAACTGTGATATCTTCTTTAAAAATTAGTAGAAATAATCATGAATTAAGAGCTGTTAGAGACTACATAGCGAGACTCCCACAAGAAGAAAAGTGTGCTTGTTTGCACACATTTTAATGTTTGAGAGTTATTTATTACACAGTATAAGTATCTATCAATGGCTCTCAGGGAAGTCTGTAATTACAAATAATGATAGATAACATATATTAAAGTTTTAGTAAAACAGATCTAATGTAAATATACTATGTCCCCAAATTTTCCATGCTATTTTTCTCTTCATGTAACAATTATGCAAATTAAATCCCCAGAGGGGATTCAAGTGCATGTCCAGAAACAACTGGAAACAACAGTTAGTGTTAGGGTTGCCAGGTGTCCGGTTTTGAACCAGACAGTCCAGTATTTGAGCTTTCTGTTTGGGAAACCAATTGAGAAAATACAAATGAGAAAATATAAATGTCCGGTATTTTCTAAATATGATGTAATGTAGATTGTGATGTAATGTCAAGTTTGTCCAGTATTTTTGTTGAAACCATCTGGCAACCCTCAGTGTAAGAAGATTATAGGGAAAACTTCCCCTGAACAGTGAGTGAGCTTTCTAGTGTTGTTTTCGTTACTTTTCTGGAAATAAGTTTTAGACTTTGAGAGAACCAAGAATGGGTTTCAAGTATGACAGCAGGAAGCGAGCCCGTGCCCCATGGTCCATTTTTTTGCTAAGAGTGGGAGCAAGCTTCCGACCAGCAGCAGTGCTAATTTTTGAAGCAACTTTTTGTCACTGTATGACATCGAAGAAAGACAAAATGACCAATCACTCATATCCTGACACTATACTGCAATGTTTGCCAACATCTTAACAATGTCAAAATATACTGATGCGTCACCTCAGCAACATCAACCTGGTCCAACTTCTGTTAGATACTGGCAAGTTCGAGTTCAATTGCTTAACATTCTCCATACTGTCTCCCATATATCAGGTGGTTTAGTAAGCATTCTGTTTCCTTCGGTCCAAACAAGGCTTAACAGAGAAAGTTACAGCTGCAGCCTATGAATGATGCTTCTGGGACTCTCTTACCACACCTTAATGGGACTGAAAGTGCAGTGCAAAAAGGACAGCAATGGAGGAGAAACTGGACAAGGGACTGTAGTCAAAGGATAATGTTTGTGGATAACATCATCCAAAAGGAAAGCCAAAACCATCAGGATGGCAGCTATTGTTAAGTGGGTGACTTATTGGGAATAAATGCAGAGGAATGAAGGAACTGAAAGTCATCTTTGTTGCTATAGTTAAGAATGGTTATATTAACTTCAAAAGTTTATAAGGCAAAATTAGACTGTTAGTTTGGAGGGGAAAAACCATCACCATTCATATGTGAAAAATAACTGTAGAGAACACCTAAGTTTTGATCATTTGAAATAAGCAGTGGCTTTTTCATACATGCATTACCAACTGTTCAGGCCAATGTCTTTAAGAGCATACATGGGCACAGTGGACACAGATAGACCTTTTTAATCCACTGGGTAGTCATAGAATTAATACTTTCAATGTTCTAGTGAAAATGGAGAAAATAAGAAAACACAAAGTTGTATTTAATCAATTATGTTGCTGGGGACATTGGAACTACACATTAAATGGTCACATATTTTAAAACAGAAAATAAGCACAGAGTATTCCAATTATAATAGAAGAGAAATATAAGTAAGCAGAATGTAGCTACCAAATTAAAATTTGTCTAACATACAGTGAATACTCAATTTCACCTCAATTTTACTTCAGAGGAGTTAAATATGTGGATAACACGCTAGAGTCACAACAGTCATCTTTGCTGAGTAATTTTTATTATTGTTTTTCTCCTCAACTATTTTTTTAAGTATAGTGAAAGCTGATTTTTGGATTCTATAATATGACTCTGCAACTTAGGAAAAATTCTTACTTCAGTTAATTCCACATATTGAGTCTGCTCTGGAATTTTGTCTTAGAGAGACTTTAGAAATCTTACTGGAGCAGGATTTCACTGTTTCCTGCAGACAATTTGAAAAATAGCAGCAGTGGCAGACCTGCCAGACAAACACTAATTTCTCAGTCACACTGTGTGCAAAATGAGGGCAACAAGCACTAACTACTCCTCCAATCTCCTTCTACACACATCAGTTGCCCGGTAGTTATCTTATAACAGGTAGCCAAATTATTTCAGTAAATTTGTGTTACTCCTAGAATATATTGTGACATGATTGTTTTGTAAATCAGCTTTTACTTTTTTTGAATATCATAAAATGCATTTCAGCTAATTTTCTAAAAGGAATAAATGGTGGGAAAAGGTTTTTTTTTCACTTTAGTCAAATTAGTTTTTTATCAAAGTTGCTTGGAATACATTAAACACAAGGTCTGACCTTAAACTATGAAATAATATTTCTAGTGTCACTGCAAAAAGATTGACCCCAGATACTCCTTTAGACTAATTACTATCATGTAATGTCACCAATGAAGATCTATAATTACACATGGAAAAAAATATGGTCCTATTCTTATTTAGTTAATGAAAATTATAACCTTTCCATTTTGATTAATCACTCACAACAACTAAAGCATGTGATGCATGCTCTTTAGGGAATATAGTAATTTTCCTGACTGTTTATGCACTCTTCATTTCTCAGGCTCATGCAAAGTGGAGAGTGGGGATGTTTCAACCCCTCTTGGGCTGCAAACAGCTTCTAGAAAAGTTTTAAGACCACCTGAATTTTTTGTACTTTGTACAATGCTTTTATAAAACAAGGCTTTATAATATACTGCGAAGTAAGTTATTGATAGCTATCTCCAGTGACTTAGGCTGACAAAATCTCCAATTTCCACTGAAGTCAATGAATGTGTCTCTGTTGCCTTCAGTGGAGGTTGGATCAGGCCCTTTGACCCAAAAATTACAGAGCACTGGCTCTGGGAAAGTTTAGACCTTACTGAAAAAAACTGCTTCCTTTGTTTGCTGGTATTTTGGAATACTGAAAGTCAGCAGTAATACATTATACTGCAAGCTTTTGTTATGGTAACAGATTATTCTGATACATAGATATTTTTAGTGCTGTTTACCAGAAACCTCCCTGGTCTGGCACCCTCGGAACCTAATTCTTCCCAGATGAGGGAATTTGTTTGATAAGGGGAGGTGCCTTGCCACTGGCCCCTCCCCGTTGCTGGCTCCTTCAGCTCCGCTGCCAGCCGGACAACATGGCTGCATCAGCCCCATTGCCAGAATGGCTGCCCTAGTACCACCGCTGGCACCATGGCACAGCAGCCCTAGCCCTGCTACTGTGGCACCAGCCCCGCTAGTGGGTGGCTCGTGGCCCTGTCTGTGCTGCCCTGGCTCCAACCAGGTTGCCGCATCACCAGCCCCGCTGCTGGGCTGGCACACAGCGCTGATTGAGCTGCCCCCAGGCCTGACTGCACTACCACGGCCACAGGTGGGCTTCTAATGCTCTGCTGGGCTGCTGCAATCTAGTTTCACTGATTGGGCTGCTGCAACACTAGTCCAACAGTTGCCACCACTGAGCTGCTTCTGTCCCACTCCTAGCCCTCCTCCCCTCCACGGGAGCCAGTATGCATGAGAAGCCAGCTTAAAGGGTACAGCGGCTCCTGCTTGCCCCCCCCACTCCATGTTGTTGCCTCTTTATCGGAGACAGCAGCAGAGAGGGGCAGGTGACTCTGTGGGAGCTGATATGCGCAGGGAGCTGGCTTAAAAA